CAGTCCCACCAGCAGTGTATGAGAGTCCCAATCTCTCCACAACCTCGCCTGCATTTGTTATTTTCTGTCTTGTTGAACTTTGATACTAGTGTTGGAGCAAGATGGTATATCTCATTGTTGTTTTGATTTGCATCTCTCTAATAGCTAATGATCGTGAGCATTTCTTCATATGTTTGTTGTCTGGCCACCTTTACAACTCCTGAAGAAGGGCTTTTAGCCTCAAAGGCCCTCATAGAGCCTTTGCACTTGGTATTCCCTGTGTCGACTTACTAACACTTACTCATCTTTCAGACCACAGTTTCACTTCCTCAGGCCTTTCCTGACCCCCAGGCCAGGTCAGTTACCTATTGTATGTGCTTATAGTTTTATGGCTCTTTTCTTCAAGACCCTAATTACAGCCATAATTTTGCATATCTTTATTGTGGTTATATGAATATCCATCTCTACTAGATCTGAGCTCTTAGGATAAAAGTGACTGCTTTGCTTACCTTTTATCTCTAGTACCTAGTATAATGCTTTATAAATATTCATTAAATGAATAATTTGATAGCTAATCAACCAAAATGCTATATAAAACAAAATGAGAAAATGGCATTTCAGTGAATGTTTAATGTTTCATCATTTTTTTCATTATTATCCCATTATATTCAGTTATTTACTACCACAAAGAGAAATTGTTTATTATCAAGTCAAGTTATTGAATATTACCTATGGAAGATAAAAGTACCTGTATTTTTATTTTAAAAAATGGGTCATCAGTATTCATAAAACAGTTGCTCTATGTAAAAAAAAAATAGTAGTTAACATAAAATCCAATTCTATTTTCAGGCCAACCATGCATCTTTAGATCAGAGAACACATGGACTATTGCCTCCTAATCTCTAAATTTGGAGTAAAAAATGATTTTTAGAAATAAATACTGCAAAACTGATAAGAGGCTAAAATAAGTTAACCCTTAATTTCTCATCTTTTATAAACAGCTTTACAAATCATTTGGATAAGCAGCCTGCAGGTAAACAAAACCTCCCACCCCCATTCTTGAAGTCAATCATTCTTAAGAGATGATCAAGCAGCACCTGTTGCAGAAGATCAAAGCCTGTAGCTGATACTCAAACCTTTGTTCTGGATCAGTTTTCTGGTTTGGATTGGTTAGGAATCACTTCCTTGAGAATCTTCATCAGTGAATTTAAGCGAGTATGTGTTAACATTATCTTCTCCTTTAGCTGGGAAGAGAAATATAAATATTAGGGCATCTTCACTGGTCCTAAAAGCCACTTCAATTTAAATTAGTTTATAAGTAGTGAATGGAAGCTGGCAATAGCTCAACTATTTCAGAAACACCTGTGTTCTTTTTCTGAAAGAAATTTACACAGCAAATCCAGAGTAAACCTCAGGTATAAAATTCATGTAAAAGAAGATTAGCCATAGAGCCAGCAGTGATGAATGGCAGGGTCAAGAAGAGCCATGCATGGCTGAGAGGAAAACTGTCCTGCCCTGAAGCAGACCTTGCCTACAAACTTCCTGACTCTAATCCTGAGTTGTAGCCTGTTGATCGTGATCCCAAGTTGTACTCTGTTCTTTAATAAACCAATTAAATGTAAAAAGTAACAACAAAAAGATTAGCCTTTAGTGAGCATTACTGCATCCTGTCTCCCTCCTTCCTACCACTTATCACTTGGTTGAAACTCCAAATATTGGTAAGGAAGACAAAAATAAACAGGGTAAAAAGAGTTTGGTTACAATAGAAGCATTAACTAGCATCCTCTCTTTTTCCAGTGGCAAGAATCTAGCTTTTCTTGCCTTTCTTACTCTAATATTACACTAGAAAAACCAAAAACAAACTCACTGCCATCGAGCGGGATCCAACTCATACGGACCTCTCCTTGGGTTTCCAAGGCAGTATCACTACAGAAGTAGATTGCTCAACCTTCCTTCCAAGAAGTGGCTGGTGGCTTTGAACTGCCAGTCTTCTGGCTTAGCAGTCAAATGCCTTAGGCGCTATGCTACCAGAGCTCCTAATTAAGGCTTCAAAATTAGTTCAGGTTGTTAAAGCTTTAAAACAGATGTTTGTTGTAATTAGATAATTGTCAAGAGTTCTTTTGCCTGAGAACAGTTGTATCTAGAACTAATTTTAGTGGTGTTTCTCAGCATACCATAGGTACCTGTAAATAATGTTATTATGTAGGTTATATATGGGATTGGCTTGAATCAAGATATTCCCTGGAACGCTGCTTTCCTGAATAGAATCTTGACTGACTATTTAGCCTAAACTGCAGGGACTTCAGTTACAGGGTTGGAAGTTGAGGCAAAGAAATTCTATTTAATTGAAAACTTTAATTTTTAGTAAAAACTCTAGTTTTATTAAAAAATAAATAATTTTGAATATCCGAAATTATTAAAAACCTTCAATAGGCTTAAAATTATCTTAATAGTCGCTGAAATTTGTGTAGAGCCAGTTTCTTCTACTAAAGCAAACATATTTATCTGAGTAAGGGCTAATTAATATATTTAAGAAAACAATGTCCCATTCTAGGCACTTAAAGTGAAAGCTGGGATGTCAATTTGCATTCTTAATTGTGTCACCTCTGAAGGGGATGGCTCATTAATTTTAATACCACCTTAGTCATACCAGGTAGGGAATACGAATTAGAAAAATTACCACCTCTGACAATCTTAAGTAGAACTCATAGATTTTACATTTGGGGGGGGGGGAGACCAGGTTTGCTGGTCTGATAGAGCCTAATTGAACCACTGAGACTATGGCCCCTAGCTGCCCTTCACGTTTGGAATTGAACCCACTCCTGTGGCTTCCAGCCAAACAAAAGACAGGCATATGAGGTGACCATCTATACTAGGTAGATACAGTCCTTGGAAAGAACAATCATGAGAGAATAGAAGGGCTTGTGTATGCACAGGGGACAGGAGTACATGGAACAAAGGACACAGGGAAGAGGTAACTATGGGGAGGAAGTGGGATGGGAGCTGTTGCATTGCAGTAAATTGTAGTCAATGTCATGAGACAAAGTATATGTGAACTGCTGTATGGAAAATGAATTTACTCTGTAAACTTTCACCCAAATCACAATGTTAAAAAAAAAAAAAAAAAGTCATGGGTTTTAAACTGTCCTAGGGCCAAACAAGTAAAACTTTCAAAAGTGGACACCTGAGCTGGGAAAACACATTTGAGAATATACTGCTTCACTGAGGCAGAAAAATACAGTAATACAAGCGATTTTGCTGTGTCTGTTTTTCAGACATGAATTTTAACAATAAACATTACAAATGAGTGAAGCATTAAATCAGCTAAAGTATCTCACATTCAACTTGGCAATTATTTGTTTAATTAGTTAGTTTTAGTTGGTTATAGTGTTAAGTCTTCTTTTTCCTTGCTGATATTCTCCCTAGTTGTTTTATTCATTACTGAACATGAGGTATTAAAGTCTCCAGCTATTTTTTTATTGAATCATCTATTTCTCCCTTCATTTATGTCAGTTTTTGATTCATGTATTTTGGGGCTTTGTTGTTAGGTACATATATGTTTATAAGTGTTCCTGATGGATTAACCTTTTATCATAATACAATATTGATGATCTCTATGGACATTTTTCATTTTAATGTATATTTTGTTTGATATTGTTGTTGTTGTTATGTGCCATTGAGTCAAACCCGACTCACAGCGACCCCTCCTTGGGTTTCC